CTGAACATTTCTAAACCAGAAATTGCTGTTACGCTTACATTACAGTTACATGGAAGTCATCAAATTTTATATGATTAGTGAGACCAACTGTACAAAAAGAAAGCAACCTAACGTATTAAAAAAGACCAACTTGGGGAATTTTATTGTCTTTTGTTATTTCTTTTCCTCCAAATTCTCGGCAAGCAAACAGAACATAACATTAATCTGACAAAAATGATCAAGTAAGAGTGAACCCAGAAAAGCTTACAGATAAGGGCGCGAGGCGGTGAGGGCATTTGTCATCAAAAGCAACCCATTCACCAGAAGACTTATCATACCATAAAACAAGGTCACGACCCAGAAGCTGAAATGGGGTAGGCAAGCGAGGGTCCAAATCTTCAATCAAAGAAACTGGGTACCAATGATCCCTCCAATTGAACTTGGTTGTCGGGTTCTCATCGTCAACCTCATCCTCAACTCTGTAATCTTCACCATCTTGTTCTGTCTGTGTGGGTGGTGCCTCTGGGTCTGTGGTTTGTGGTTGGGTTGCAGGCACAGCTACTCTCAAAGGAGATAGACTTTTTGCTCTACCTGGTAATTTACGATTTGGGTTATTGGTGGAGATCAAGAAAGGAAGTGTCTTGGGAGGTTTTGGGGTTGGTGATGATGATGATAGAGTAAAAATTGTAGAAGAAGCAGAGGAAGAGAGTAAAACTGCCATTATGGGTTTGTTTCTGATACTTCAATTCTGTGATTTTCTGCTGAAGAAATTGGTCAAGGTAGGCTCTAAAAACGAAAATGGAGGACTTTGCGTGCAAGTTTGAAATGGGGCCCCTTGTCCTTGCCTGAGCTAGAGAATTCCAGTTTAAGCTCTGAGGAGATTAACGGTAATTTCGGGAGGGAAAATTGTGCACAAAATAGTCATTTGTGTCGTGGCGAGAGGTCATTGGTTAGGTTTTGTTTGGTGTTGACGGTGCCGGCCATTAGTGAGTGAGCCACCGTTGAGAAAAAATCACGTCCACAACTTTGGAAGACAGTAAACTTGCTGATTCAGAGTTCAGACGTGAGACAAGGACACGAGTATAGAAAAATCAAGAAGCTGAATTATGGACCAAGTGGAAATTTTTTTGGACTTTTTTCTTAAGGAGTTTCTTTTTGGACCAAGTGGCAATTGGGTTCATAAAATGGACCCTATCCCAAAAAACTCTTACTTAAAATATAAATTTATAAATAAACTCAATCTTAAACATGTATTTATAAAAAAACTCAAACACTATTTAAACATAGAAACACACCCAAAATCAACCCCAAAGTCAACTTTTTGGGTGTGTTTATAAATAGGTTTTGAGTGTGTGTAATGATGGGTTTTGGGTGTGTTTACATGTTTAAATAGTGCTTGAGTTTTTTTATAATTTCAACCCTCATTTGGGGTGTTTTAGTGAAACTCCCTACTTAAAAAGGGGTGAGGGTTGCGGCTGTGTGGGTAGAGCTGGGTTGTGGGTTTTTTTTTTTTTTTTTTTAATATTAATTTTTTTTTTCCAAATATTTTAGTTATTTAATTTAATTTTTTAAAACTCACACAGTAAATCATGTGACAATTGGACAGAAAATTGGATGAAGTTTGAAAAATTTGACGGTAAGGGCGAATTGGATATTTATAATAATTTTGAGGACTAAATTGGCTTTAAATTATTTGGGGGTTAAGTTCGATTAGGGTGAGTTCAGGAGATAAAACAGCTGAAAATCTAAGGGAAAAAGTCACTTTTGGTCACTGTAGTTTGCCAGTTTATTCAATTTAGTCATGTAGTTTTAATTTTGTCAATTTAACCCATGTGGTTTGATTCTATTACACAATTCAATGTCACATCCAAATTTCTATCTAATTCCATCCAAAATACCCCTCCACGTAAGAGACACGTGTTCATTCCATCAAGGAATTAAATGAAAATTTGAACAAGTCCTTAAATTGCAATAAAATCAAACTACAGGAATCAAATTGCAAGAATTGAAACCACATGGATAAAAATGAAAATTTCATTAAACTAGAGGGACGAAAAATGATTTTTTTACCTACTTAAAACGAGCATACATGTTGAGTGCCAATTTATGCTTCGAATTTAGTCTTTACTTTGAACAAGTCTTGACTTTAGTAGGGTTCGGGTTTATTGTTTAGAATTTAGAGGCATGTGAATGAGAAAGTAAAAATAACTAGGGTTTAGGGTTTAGATGTACCTCTCTTAAACTCTGGTTATATTGTTCCTTCTTCTCTTGTCAATTAATCAACATATGTTTTAGTAAACATACACTCTCAATTAGCCAAATCCGGTCCTCCATTGCATTTTATAAAACATAGAAGTAGAATCAGAATCAAACACATGATACGTAAAGAATGTCACATCCCGCTAACAAATGCACTTTTCTTATTTTCTTAACTTGAATTTGATTTTCCTTCAGGAATCAGAAACTAGAGTATTGAAACATACATTAAAAAAAAAAACATAATAATACTAGTTTAGAATCAATCAAAACAATTCATATCCATCTCTTTCTCTGTGTCTAACTTAAACTCTTTTATCTTTATGCTTTACACAAACGAGTTCTAGTACTAATAATAGTATTAAACATCTCGCTACCACTCAGTTTAATACATTCAAAAGTGAACATGGGAAGAATTTTGACCTCTCGCTCTGTGGTACTCAAGACATTCCTGGTCCCCAATCCAGACAAGTACGTTCATCCGGTGCAGCAAACTCCAAATTGATTCAATTTATTAAGGTTTACTTCCTGAGAGCATACATCATGCCAAAATACTCACTTCTTTGAGTAGGTCTGATGGTCAGGGCCAACGTCACGGGAACCAGTGTTTATATAAGGCCCTCGAAACGTTGCTTGGGGTGACAGTGGCTTTGAAGGGTCAATGACAGGCTTTGGGGATGATCTGGAAAACAAAAAAGCACATTATGCTAACTTTTTTTTCCCTCATGAATTAACATGACATTATAGTGTGTATTCATCATCATTGAAATGGCAATCTACTTACGCCATGTAAAAGGGAAATGCCAAGCCCGCAGCTGCAAAAGCCACCAAGCCAGTAGCAACAATGGCATTCCGTGCTAGGGCCATTGAGAGTACCAAAGCAAACTAAACATGAAGTAAACAAGAAACATAACAGTTATATTCAGTGAATATGAAACTATGTATTTCGGTATGCTTCCAACCGAAAAATTTCATGGTTATTGCCTCGAAAATTATAGCCAGTATATTACAATAAGAGCAAACTTCTATTTCATTTCCATAACCAATGCACACGCCAAGTTCAGTCAAAGAAAATGTTCAGCCGACTGTAAAACTAGGCAAGGAAATGCTCAATCCATAAATTAGATAGACACTATCTCTTGCTATCTAACCTCCAAACTGTAGAAAGAAGGCTATACAGATTCTAACTTCAATTCAAACATTAAGTCTTAGGTTCAAATCTCACTAAAGAAAAGAAAGGCAAAGATACATTTAACTCCTGGTAGTTCCAACTAAAGTTCTCCACAACAAGTATGCTTCAAGTATTCACATTCATGAATCTTGATTAAACCCTCCAATTCACATTAAGAAATTGAAAAGCTATCACTCTGTTTCTCATCTCATGGATTGAATTTTTCGCTTATTTTGATCCAAACGGATAATTAGGCATTCGCACACAGAAAGATCAACCTTCTTTCAATGAATTGAGTAATGAGTGAGAAAAATAAAAAAGTTAATCCAATCATATTTCAAAAATCGAAGAAAACCCTAATTTTGAAAACGAACTATGAATAATGAATTGGCGAAAACAGAAATGAAAGTTCGAAATCGCAAAGAAGAAAGTTGAAATTGAACGATTGAATCACCTGAGTCACTTCCAATTGCTGCCCAGAAAGAAATAATAGCTGCCCCAATACTCACCGACTCGGGATTCGGGTAAAGACTCGGGGACTGAAAGTGTTTGCCGTTTTTTGGGTGAACTGCTCTTTCATTTAGGAAGAAACTGGTCAGAAGACAGATAATTCTATCGGCACCTTAAAATTAAATTATCACACCCATAAAACATAATGTGATTTTTACGGTTTTAGTTAGGTTTTTATTTATTTATATTATTATTTTTTTAAAAAATTAAAATTATATATATAAAAAAAATACATGCAATAGTCTAAACTAAAAAAGAAGGGGGTTTCTCACACACACTACGGGTTCGAACTTGACACCACTGGTTTGCAAATAAAGACCATTTTCCATTGAATTAACCCCGTTAACTTACGGTTTTAATTTAGTTTAGTGTGATTATAATTTATAATGGTTACCCAGTGTCTAGAAAACATGTCATCATTTTCTAGCTTTTATGTTTAAAATGATTGGGGGTGGTAATCTTGGGTCTAGAATTTCAACTGTGATAGTCTGATCCACTGGGCATACTTGTCTTGCAAACCCATTTTGTAAGATATGCGTCTCCTTTGTTTCTCGGACAAGGAGCTCAGACTTGTGACCAAAGAAATTGAGACTAAGATAATCCCACGTCCACGACCAGGTTAAAGATGTAGCTGTTAGATGCGTAGTGAGTTGGTTATTGGGAAATTACAATGTACATCAACTGACGACCCATTCAAAAGTTCGACACTTCCCTCGCAAAATGAAGACCTACAGGAGATAAAAACTGATATGAACACAACCCAGCAATCCCAAATATCTTTGCACATAATTCACTTTCCAATCATTCTGACAAAAATGGAGAATCAACTTTGCTTCTCAACAATCACAAAACTATTCAGCATTCATGACTACTTCCAATCAATTGGGAAAGTATAATATTAAGCAGAATCACCGCCGCATCCATCCACTATTCTAATTATGAGATCTCACTTGTTCAAGCTCACCACTTGTTCTAAATCAGAGAAAGCAGAGCCGCAAGAAGCTTAAAAACCCAAAATCAGAACATTATCATTCAAGCTCACCACTTGTTCTAAATCCACACAAGAAAAGCAGTAAACCAGAGGTAAACAAAACAACCATGTACGTTTTAAAAGTCATCAACAATACCATAGATTACAATAATAAGTCACTACGCCTCACAATTCTCCAAATGAGAGAATTACCCTACAGTGCCAAGACCCAAACATCCAAATTACTTTTGAACAAACCATAAACCTGTTTATCTAACATTTCAGTTCTAGAGATTACAAGGTGAAATTGAACACAACAATCACTTTGCAAGCACCTGCTGGGCTTGGTTCTCCTGCTGTTGCTGATAGTTCAGTGGCCTCCTGAAGAGCATGATGTGGGGCTCCGGGCGGTGAATTGCATAGTGAACCCAGCCACGGCTCTGCTGAACTCCAATGGCACGCCATTCATTCTGAAATCAAAATGCAAAGGGAAAACAAAAGGGGTTACTTAATTTCAGATACCAAGGGTTTTCATATTCACAGAGATCAATGCTTCTGATTTTTACAACTTAGCAAAACCATATATTTCAAAAATCTCAATCCTCTTTTTTCCCTTTCCTTCAGGTTCACAAAAACCAAATAGCACAATGATTTTTTACATAGACATCAGAACCCAAAAACAAAAACGCTCGTTACAAAACCTCTACATATGACCGAGAAACAAAAAATAGGAATTCAATGCCTTTTCAAATTAAATTAAATTAAAGATCCTAGTAATTTGGGATTCCATGAACTAAAAAGCAATAATCCACTACATGAAGAACCATATAAACCCGTATAATATATTGCAAATTAATTTGGGTTCCATGATTGAAACATTAACCCAATTACACCAAACAACGAAAAAATCCCAACTAGATTATAGGTTTTCACATATTTGCATAACTGAGATTCAGAGTTTGAATTCCATTTCTTTAATTTCTTCGGCAATCAAACAGAACCATGGCTCCAAATAACAAAACAATGAGAACCCAATGTATCTTAGGAAAAAAAATGAAAAAACAAAAAGAGAAAAACCCTAAGCACTTACTTCAGAGAGAAGTCGATTTTTTGGGAGCAGTTTAGCCACTTCCTGAGGAAGAACCACATGCCTGTACAGACGGTCAGAAAAAAAAAACATTTAATCAAGAAAAACAAAGCAGCAAACAAAAGAAAGCAAAGCGAAAATGAAGGTACCTGTACTCGTAAATATCATCGAAGTACTTCTCGGAGTATTGGATCTGACCCATATTCAGGGATCGCTCTTTCAACCCAAAATCTAAAACAGGGTTTGTAAAATTTCGCTGTTTAATCTGCGAAAATCGAACGAAGTTTCAAGAAATCAAATGAAGTCGAAATTCTAGAGAACGAAAAGAAAAAAGAAAAAAGAACTAAAGCAGAGCAACAGGAGAAAGGGCATACCTCAGAGAGAGTGAGGGACGGGAGGAAATGAGAGAGAGCGTGAGATTATAATAAAAAGGGGTGAGGGGGATGGGATGGGAGTGATGGTGGAATAAAAGGGAACTTCAAGAAGGGGTATTGTGTAAATTTACTTTCCTAAATGTGCTCTTGATCATTTTGTTAATAATTTTGTATTTGAAAGAAAAAGAACGCCCCGTTATGAGTTTGAATTTCAAAATTTTGAATTTTTCCCGCTTTGATTTGTTTTATGACTTCTTTTTCTCACGTAATTTGTTTCACAACGGCAGGATTATTTGAAATTATCATGAAATATTTAAAACCAAGTCATTTGCAATGATGAACGTCGAAAAAAAGAAGGGTGAAATGTGTATGTCACACTGCACCAATACTCAATAGCTAGAAACATCATGCAAATCACACACCGGCAACGGTCTGCAAATCAATACGCTTTTCCACTAGGTTAGACCCCATAAGCCAAACATCATGCAAATTGAGACTATGGAAGTTATAGTTGGAAAAGAAAAAAATGATAATGAGAGTGAGAAAATGGGTCGTATCTAACAATCAATAACGCTTAAGGCTAACTAGTTAATAAGTTAATATGACGCTAAACACTTGTTTAAACCTACTTTGCAAGATAATCTCATGATCCGAACCAGTCTCTTCTTAAATACAACATGGAGTGAATCTCACATCTTTTATTGTGTAATAGAGCATTTTCAAGGAATAAGAAAAATAGGAATGACAACCGAAATTGGCTTTTCCCAAAAAAATTTCAAGGAAAATCATGATAAACAAAACTACTCAACACTTGAATCTCATCGGAAGCCTTCTTTACTAGTTTAGAGCCAAGGAGCTCAATTCAAGTTTGGAAGTACAAAGAAAACCACAATGGAACTGGGAGAAAGGCATAAGCTACAAAAATGGAATCCCATGGCCAGAAGCAGAAATAAGAGTGCCATAAAAGGCACAGTTCCAGGAGACAGGAGTTACCAAAATTTCTGTAATTCTCTTCATTAACCTACTCTTTCATTGACCTACTCTCACTTTTCTGTTGCCCAACTGAAATCTCTCAGTTTCTATACGCTACCAAAAAAACAAAAACTGCCTGTAGGGTTGGTTGTTGTATATTTTCTGCTTTTCTGTACACCAAGAGCCAAGGGGAGTCATGTACATTTTGAAGGAAAATGATCCACAAATTAGTTTTCTCCTCTCCATTCCAAAATAGAAGACTTCGATGATCCAACATTCAATTACTCTCTTATCAAGCAAGAATTCTGCACTTAGGGACGGGCTTCCGCAGCATGGATGTCCCATGGAAGATCATCATTTGGTAACTTTTCCTGTAATTGCTTATCTGCAAGAGAAAATATGTAAATAAATAAACTTGAATTAATTAAGCATTTAAATAAACTTGATCGCTAGGCCCCCTTCTTCACCCCCCAAAAAAAGAGAAAGTAAATCTCTTTCTCCAAAAGTTCACGTACCTCATTTTGGGTCAACTTCTCCAAACCAAATCTCTTTTTCCATATTGATTCTGCCTCATCAGCAGCTGGCACAACAAGACTTTTCACATTTAAGAACGCAAGAAACCTCTCAATACATGAAAATAAAGTCTGGAAGTAACCCTACAAAAAGAAATAATGAATTCAAGTCAGGAAAAAAAAAATTCATATAAACTTCATTGATTCCAAGAGAAAAAAGGTGGCAACGTGACCACACAGCGATGTAAAAATAACCTGTCCTTGGTAATCAGCACTTGTTGCCACTAAAGGAAGCTCTGCCACTTCTGCTCCATAGATACGAAACATTCCGGCTGACACAACCAATTGGCTGCATAATAAACAATATATGTCAACAAACAATTTTATCTATACTAACACTATATAACTGCATTTAGATATGATCCTCACTTTACTGTAATTATTGCACAGTACATCCCACCAAATTCTTGGGTCTGGATGGTCCCCCTGCAAATTCAGTTGATACAATCAGTCAAAAGTGAATTCAACTGGGTACTACATTACGTGATAATTGACGCAATCAGAGCAACCAAAAGAATAGAGGCTGAGTATGACTAATGAAAAAGAGAATATCGTGGCTCACCCATAAAGCATTTCTTTGATGAAGTCAAGGCGTGAAGTAGGATCAACTATTGGGGCAAAGCGATCCTATAGCACAGAAATGAAATTGACAAATAAGTACGCATAAAATTTAACCCCTGAAACAATGGCAGAAAGTCATCTAGTAACATCAGACACAGATGCCCAATTATGCACCATATAGACAAAAGCCTGGAAGCATGGGACATCAAGGCACGTCAAATCACCAATTAACACACCAAATACAACACAGCATTCTCCCCAATATAGGAAAATAAATTAAAATTTGATTTACTACAGCTAGGTTGGCCACTATAATTAAAATAACAGATATTCTTAACAGGGAAACAAATAACAAGTTTACTCACATGGAATATGGCAAGAGCCTTTGAAAGCAACTGTAAACTTTCATCATCAGTGGACGTTTTCCCATTAAGCACCCTCCATTTTATATCAAGATTAGCCCCAAACTCTGTACCTTTCTCATTGTGCTTCTTCCTTACAACATTCAGTAAGGTGTCCGGAAGCTTCTGTCCCCCATGAACTACCAACTTCTGCAAAGCTGAATGAACCCTGTGGCAATCTGGGCAACAGAACCATTTTCCTTTTGGTATTTCCTGGAGAAACAAATGTTTTCGAACGAAGTATGATTAAGATAACAGCAAAAATACAGCACACAACCAAAACAAGAAGGGGGAAAAAAGAAGTAGATTAATTACTGTTCACAATAAAAAAACAAAGGAAGACTGAGGCACCTTCAAATCTTCAATCCCGTTATCCTTCAAACAGCCTACATGAAACTCCTTTTCACACTGGAGAGTGAGGAAAAGAATAAGCACATCAACTAGAACATAAGAGTTAATCATAAATAAAGTGGAAATGTAAAGCACTTCAAAGCCAAGACTTAATAAGTTAAGAAATTAAGTTAGCAATCAAAGTACCTGATCACACAAAATAACTGTGCCAGGACCAAAATCAGAGCCGCTGAATTCATGTCCTCTGCAGAGATCAAAATCAAGAATATTCATATTTTCTAATGGAAAATCTAAATTAAGAAAAAAAACTGAAAATCATGATAAGTTAATGCAACAAACATATGGAAAGCAGTAATTTATCAGTGGCAATTGTGTAATATAGGGAGACTAGACACACAAATAAAATCACCAAAGGGTTTTGCCAAAAGTTAGTGTTCTACGATAGCTGCAAATATTTTTCTGGTTCATTACAACTAATATGAGAAATAACCTGCACAGTGCGCAACCACCAAATTTCTCCTCGAAAGTTGTGACAATACGAATGCATCGGTTGGTTATTTGTTCTATAGGATCAACTCCTGCAACTCTTCCAGCTGCAACAGCATTGGCATTATGCTCCACAAATTTCTCTCTCTCAAACATAGACTGGCACTGTTTACAGTACCAAGTACCTTCAGGGACACTTGGTAGAGAAAGGCACTCTGCAATTGGCAACAAAATAAATAAAACATGTAGCTCATGCACAATACATTACAACCATACTATACCCTTCTCCCTTTTCTTTTTTTTATCTTTTTCCCTTACATGTGTTGTAATTATCAAGCTACTATCTTAACTAATTACGAAAAAGGATCCAACAAATAAGCCAAATGAAAAACCAGATTTAAAAGAATGCATATGCATTTGAAAACACAATATGCACGTAGTAACAATATCAATAACCATAACGTATGTTTTTAGCTTAAAGATTCAAGTAAAAAAAGAGATAATAATTGGCTACCCCAGTCATGAATCCTACCATTCAAAGAATAAAGTGATATGGCCAACTGCACAAGTTCTATTTGCAACTATTTTAAACAAACTGTATAATGATATGGGAGTAATTTAAAAAACAAAAAGAATAACGACATCAAAATGTAAGGGACAATTGAAGATAAATCCTAACAATTAATTCTATGGAGCAAAATCACTCTTAACCCTCCAAGTGGAGGCAGCTAAAGCATTGGATTGTGCATCCACGCATGCTTGCCTTCCCAGCATACAAAATAGAATTGAGGGTCTAACGTATCACGTTGCAATTTTATCTGTGTTATTTTCGTCAAGCCACTAGCTTTTGTACATGTTGAGCTCATCTCCCCTACCCCAAGAAAGGAAAAAAAACCAACAACAAAAAAAACCCCATTTCATGTTTTTATTTTCGACAAAGATATTCAAGTTTAAATCTATTTGTATTTTCTTCTGATCACCACACCGATCATAATACTCTTTTCCTTTAAAAATAATAATAAGAAAAAGGCTTATATATATATATATATAACAGTTCAAAAATAGTGAGCAAGGAATCCACTTGTGGAAAAATAACAAACAGTCAAACCTGCAGCAGCAACTCTATCCTAAGAGAAATAGAACACAAAAGCAGAATTTGCCCGAAAAAACTATACATTAGTTGCTTTCCAATCTCATAAAATAACAAGGAAAGATAGCTCCCGAAACTCCAAAGCTACACAGAAATAGCCCAAATGTGAACCCTAACCCAATAAACAATTGACCTCCTCAGCGCACACATTCTCAAAGACCCTCCTATTCCTTTCAAGCCAGAACATTGTCATCATAGCACATCCCAGAACTGTACGCCTTATTAATCCAATTTTTAAAAATTAAAAAGGAAAGGAATTTATTTTCTTCTTTTCCTTCTCCTTTCTCCTACCCCCTCCCAACCCTAACCCTAACTTTTTATCTTTGCAGGTCATGGTACTACCAGGGTGTGTGTTACCTCAGTCAAATTACTTTTACTTTTAATTTTTATCCACTTAACAGATTAAAGATTTTAAAAAGGTCAGGATGAAATGGGAAAGTTATGAAAGTTTTACAGAGGGGGCATAACGAGACAAACAATGTGCAAACAGAAGCAATCCACTACTAAAACATACCCATTTCTGTCCTTATTTACCTATTGAAAGAAATATATATTGAAAATAACTTTTATAAAAGTAAAAATAAAAAGAATCGCCCTTTCTTCTT